CGGCGTCGGGCCGGAAGCGCTGCTGCCTCCCCGGGCTGTGCGGTGAGCGGGCAAGGCGGCGTGGCGGCCGAAGCGGTGCGTGCTGGGGCTGCGGGCCCGTGGCGGTGGCGCGCTCTCCTGTCCGCGGAACAAACTACTTCGTGTATTTGGTTTGCAGTTTCCTCTTAAGAGCAAGTCTGGGGCTTTAGCTCAGCGGCAAAGCGCCTGCCTGGTAAGCGCAAGGTCGTGAGTTCGGTTCCCGGTACCGGAGAAAACAAAACAAAAAAAAAGAGCAAGTCCGATGCGGGGAGTCACGTCCAGCTACGTCAGAGCAGGCTCACGGTGGAAGTGTGGTGCGGGAACTTTTTTGCAAGTCCCTGCATCGGAACCGTATTATTCTTCGTCCAACGTGTGTGCAGGTTACAGGACGTGAGGCGTTATCCTGTGAGGCATTGTTCTGGGTGCTGCTGGGGAGAGATCACGCCACGTCACTGACGCTAAGCGCGGGCCCTTGTCTGCGCTGTTACTGGTTTATCCTGTGGGTGGGAGAACGGCGCATACGCTGAAAGATTTCTGTTACTGTCAGGGCGTCAGGGCAAACAAAGTGGAGTGCTGAGCATCTTGTGGAACTAGTTATGCTCCAGAGGTTGGCGCGTGACGGGTGTTCAGCGGGTGATTCCTAAATGCGCAGGACAGGTTTGGCCACCGGTGAAAACCTGCTGTTACGCAGGTTTCAGTTCATCACGGTTTTCAGAAGTGCATTGTGAATTGACACATAGGAGCTAACTTTGGCGTTCAGATGATGGAGCACGATCCACTTTGTTCTTCACTGACCTTGGAGTGTTACATTTAGCTTTAATGCCCCATTTCATTAAAGAATTCTTAGTAAAGTGCAATCTGGCCAGAAGACGGAGAAGTCAAGAATATTCATTTAAGGAATTGTTAGGTGAGAGGACCAGGGTATTTATTAGACATTTGTATAGAATATTCATGAGATAGGATTCATGAAAGTTTTTTCAAGTATTCGGAGGGTTGATGGGGCGTGGTGAGTGCTTTTACACATGCCCAAAAAGGAGAGAATAATTGGAGAGAAAGTCATGGTGTTAATTCAATAATAAGTTTAAGAGGAAGAAACAAAGCTGCTCTTGGTAAAGCAGAATGTTGAACCCAAAATGTGGCCAGTAGAAGGTCGTGGGAGGACTTAAAGAGCCTTAAGGGATTTGCTTGGGGCAGCAGGAATTGATACTAAGGAAATGCTCAGTGCTTGTAGATTAACGTACTCAGTAATGTCTTGGTGTTGGTAAGTGACATTAACCCCATTATTGATCCCAACTGTAAACATGATTATACAACGATAATGCAAATTATCGGAGGCTTGGGGAAATACTTTGAATTTAGGATTACAAAGTTATAATGAGATAACCATAATTAACCTTAATATGTTAATTTTAATTAACGTAATTGAAATAAGATGAAAATAAAACCCAAGGAATGGGAAAATTACGTAAACAAACTAATATGTAGTGGCTACCTCTCTGATAGTTTTCTTTTTTTTTTTTTCTTTTTTTTTTCCAGTACCGGAAATCGAACTCATGACCTCGAGCTTGCCAGGTCGAGCTAAATCCCCAGCCCGATACTGTTTTATTTCTTAAAGAATGAAGTCTAATCACACCCATTCTGGTTGGGGGAATGAAATATATATCAGAATAGTAGGCAGTCTTGGAAAGCTCCGGAGGTTATAACTCATTTGTCCTTTCTCTTCAAGTTCCTGAAATAGAGTAAAATTAGAGAAAGTATTCGTGAAATCTTTCTTATTTAAAGAGAAATTTGAACCTCTGTTTCCATGCTCACACATACTTTTTTCTTCAGGGTTACCATTAAAGTTAGAGGCTAATAGAGTTTTGATACCAGTCGTTATTCTTCCTTCCGAACCATTGTGTATAAAGCAGTCTTTTAGACTGTGAGAATACAGCAGTTTTCTTTCTGCCTTCTAGTAGGAAAGACAGTAAAATCTTTATACATTTTTACTATAGCATTTTTTGAAGAAAAATAAAATAGGCTAAAAAGATAGTGACAGGGAACTATTTTATATTATTGGTGTAGGAGGGATAAATAAGGGAAAAAAGTAGGAAAGAATTAGAAAATGAGTTTAAATATTTGTTCAGGGGCTAAAGGGTAGATCATGATCTTGTAGGATTTACTTTGTGAAATGGAAATCTGCTGGGCAGTTTTGAACCCATTGACATTAGATTTTGTTTAGATTAGAAGTGAGCAGAAGGAAAAAAGAGCAGACCAATGAAGGAGTCTCTTAATTTAGGCTTAAGATGGTGGTGGTTTAGGTCAGGTTGGTAGCAATGAAGGTAATGAGGTGGTTGGATTCCAGAGATACTTTAAAGGTAATAGCCATCACTTTTATAAGGTGTTGAGTAAAGAACCAAGAATTTTTGGTTCTTCTTGCCACATGCCCTCCTTTTATGGTAATTGAGTGGCTGTTCTATTAATGAAATGTTAATACAGTTAGTACATTTCTTTTATGAATAGCCTGAAGGAAGGAATTATCAGTCACAGATGGGAAAAACTCTAAGGGAGGTAGATTTTGGATAGAATGTCAGGTATTTGTCTACATGTCAAGTTAGGAATGTAAATAGTAATTGTCAGTTAAATTTGTGGATAAAACAATAGGAAACATAAAATAACACACACACATACACACACTTGTTTGTTTCCTGACTACAGTATTTTAACATGAATATGGTAACAGTTGGAGAATGAATCACTTGAAGGACAGAATGTTTTACATTGTAATAGCTCTATTTTCAACTTTTAAGATACATATCTTTTGTGTAATCATCAAACTCATTTCTATCAGTCTTTCTCTAGAGTTATCTGTATAAAACATCCTGGAGTCTACCATGAATGGACAGTTGGACCTAAGTGGGAAGCTAATTATCAAAGCTCAACTTGGGGAGGATATTCGGCGAATCCCCATTCATAATGAAGATATTACTTATGATGAATTAGTGTTAATGATGCAGCGAGTTTTCAGAGGAAAACTTCTGAGTAATGATGAAGTTACAATAAAGTACAAAGATGAAGGTAAGAGTGCTTGTAAAGCAGTTTTTAAAAGTCATTAAGAACTGTATTTGTTCATTTGCCTGTTTTTTCTTAGACTGTCTCTCTTGTTGCTCTGTTTATAGTACTTGAATCACCATTTTATTTGATGGGATGTCCACACAGTACAATTCTTTTGTAAATTAAAAGTAGCTAAATGATGTATTATTAGAAGAGAAGTTTAAGTGTGAAAATGCTTTCTCATTTTTACGAGCATTTGTTTCCTCCTCTGTCCCAACAATTCAAACTTCCTTTTTATTTATTAAAACCAAATTTCCCTTGTATTTCCCATAATGAAAGGGATGTCAGTACCAGCATGTATTGAATGAAAAAGGATTTTTTTTGGTCAACTAAATAAGGGTAAGCTGTTTTAAACAAAGATAAATGTCTTTTTTTTTTTTTTGTACTAGGAATTGCATTCAGGACCTTGAGCTTGCCAGGCAAGGTGCTGTGCCGCTGAGCTAGATCCCCAGCCCCTAAATGACTTTTCGTAGGAATTTTCAGAGCATGTAAATGCTGGTACACGCTGTCAGCTTATGCAGTGTCCCCAGACTCATTTGGCCACAGAACTGCTTTTATGGAGATGAATTTTATATGACAGGTTCATCCAGCATGCAGTGGAATGACAATAGATTATCTTCAGTTCTCATTCTTAAACCAGCTTTCTTTGTTAATGTCGCTACTAAAATTTGCTTTTTAGGTGATTACTAGTATCTTTTTTTAACTGCGGAACTTACATGCAGTCTGTTTCATCTTTGGCATTGCTGTTTATACCATCCTTTTTAACATACTCTTAAATTTTTAATATCTGTTACATTGTGCTTACCCTGGTTTTCTTTTGTCATTGATAGCTACTTCTTTGTCTCTGTGAAAATTGTCTTAAAGTAATATCAGCTACTGTGATAGAAATCTGGAGTGGTTTGGCACTCAAGTCGTTTATAGACCCAGTGTTAGGAGTTCTATTGTCTTTAACATAACACTTACAAACTCATCTTGGTTATGGGCATCCAGGAGGCAGATGGACAAAGATAGACTCGAAGAGATTTTACTTGGTAGGCTTCAAGATGGCGTATATAATTTCTGCCTACATTACAACATCCAGAACCTAGTCACATTGGCTTTGCTGAGATGCGAATGGGAACGGTTGTCCCTGGCTATGCAGGGACACTTTGTACAGTTACTACTTTGTGCATTTTACCCTGTGGCGGCCGAGCGTGGTGGCGCACACCTGTAATCCCAGCACTCGGGAGGCTGAGGCAGGAGGACTGAGTGAGAGTTTGAGGCCAGCCTGGGCTACTTAGTTCAAGGCCAGCCCGAACTGTGTATTGAAACCCTGTCTCAAAAGGACAGACAGACACACACACACACACACACACAAACACACAAACACACACACAACCACCCCATCCCACCCCCCGGAACTGCGTATTGAAACCTGGGCTACTTAGTTCAAGGCCAGCCTGAACGGTGTACTGAAACCCTGTCTCAAAAGGACGGACGGACGGACGGACACACACACACACACACACACACACACACACGGAACTGTGTATTGAAACCCTGTCTCAAAAGGACACACACACACACACACCCGGAACTGCATATTGAAACCCTGTCTCAAACACACACACACACACACACACACACACACACACACACACACAAACAAACAAAACAAAATTTACCCTGTGGAAAGGGACGTAAATCATTTGGTGATCAACCAAGCTGGCCATTTAGCTATAGATAGAACTCTTTTCTTTCTGTATATGTGATTTAAGGGCACTCAAAACTAGTATTTGAAAATCACTCAAGGAACTATAAAGGAGAGTAATTTTTTCCTCTCTTCTAGAATAATCTTACCTACTTAAGTCAGGTTTCACTTCTGTGACTTCTAAAAGTGTGCCTCAACTTAATCAGTTATTTGTTCTTTCTTGACTTTACCTCACAGTTTTAGTGATATTCTTTTAATGGTCTTTAGAGATGGTTTCCTCTGATCTCAGACTTAGCATATCAGGCCTTACAGTCTCTCTGAACTCCCACATTTTCATTTAGGGCAAGGGTCAGAAAACCTTTGCTTGTAATGGATCAGATAATACATTTTGTAGCTTTGTGGATCGCATAAAGCCTTCGTTTCATTATGACCATCTTTTTGTCTTTTAACAACTCAAAAATATAAAAAAGCTATTGTTAGTTCATAGTCCTATAGAAACGGAGAGGGCAGTTGGGTACATTTTAGATCCTTGGTGTGGGGTGTCCTCATTGTTGAAATTTGTGCTCTATGTCTAGTTACCACATTGTATTTCTATTTCGTGGTGTTTTGAAGCTGTTGTGGTATTGCACACCTATGACCTCAGTACTTGGGAGGCTGAGACAGTATGAGAGCAAATTCAAGGTCAGCCTGGACTATATTCCAAGACCTTGTCTCAAAACACCAAGCAGCAACAAAAATTTTGAGTTACTCATATTTGTGTAGTATATTTTGTTGGGCATAGAGAGGAGGGATAGCTCAAGTAAAGTTTCTACTGATGGAGATGATACTCTTTCTGTTGTGGGATTCAGTGAAGGAAAAAGATAAGTTATAGGAAGTTTCATTCTTTCATATCTGTACTTTGTTTTTATAAAAATGTGTTTATGAGTAGAAATGAGAGTTAAACGTTAAGCATGTGTGTTCAAGGAAATGGGTCTGATTATAAGGAGCTAAAAACAATTGTACAGTGCTTATGTATGAATTTTATTGCCTTCTTTCTCCAAAATCTGCCTAATGAGTTTTAAAATCAGAATAGCAGACCATTCCTGTAACAGCTTCTTAGCCTTGCTAGGACAAAAGTCAACCCAACTGTGTGAAAATATGCTGCAAAGATCCCTGGCCAGCTCCTTATTTGTGACTGCTTTTCTGTTCTTGCTCTCTAGAGAACATTTTTCTCCTAAATCCTTTGAAAACTTTCAGAACACAAAATTGGTATGCTAATACAGTATTTTTTATCTCTGGGATCTGGAGGAGTTCATTTCTTTGTACAAGGTGGTAGTTTTTATCTTAGTATCAAAATGGTCAGTGATGAAAGACTGTTTATTCATTCATTGAACTACTTTGCCAAAAAATAAAAAGTACAACAGAACCATTATGGAACTCTTGACATATAACTATTGTTCTATATGACTTTCCTTATGTTCATACAGATTTGTTGTATTTAGAATTAAGATTTGAACTTTGAGCATCCTTAGTACTTTCAGTTTTGATATTTTTGAAAGGGGAAGGATTTCAAATTTAATATTGCTACTGTAGATCTCTTCCTAGTGACTAGTAAAAGTGTACATCGTATCTTACCCTTAGCAAAATTGCAATATTTTTCTGAACAAAAATGCCTTTGCTTTGTTTAAGTTTCTAATGGGAGATTCTGATTATGCATCGCAGTTGTACATTTTGGATTTTAATTTTACATTTGTCCTCATTTTCTACTGTTACAAATCTGAAACTTTTTTTTCTACATTGCAGATGGAGATCTTATAACAATTTTTGATAGTTCTGACCTTTCTTTTGCAATTCAGTGTAGTAGGATACTGAAACTGACATTATTTGGTGAGTACTAAACTTTCTCATAAATGTACAGTTCATTGGATTTTTATGAAAAACTTCCAGGTCTTTTCCTTTTAAAGGCTCAGAATTAAATAACATTTAAAAGATACTTAAGATTTTTACATTGAAGGAGTGGTTTTAAATTGTTTGACACTTTATGTGGTAAAAGTTTAATCCAGTAAGAACAGTTAAGATTATTTTGTTTTCTGAAATTAGATAGAATTTAGATATCTGTAATACAACATGGTAGTTTGATTTAGCCATATCAGAATTTTTGAATTAGATTATTTGTATTTCTAGAAGATTACTAGAAAGTTGACATGGTTTTTTTTTTTTTTTTACATTTTATATTTGCTTTGTTACCTTCAATAACAATTTGTGCCACTTGTGTATCAGATTAAAATAATTCCAATGCTAAGGTTACGAGTTCTCTAAGAGTTTATAATTATCATTCATAACATGGTATATTTTATTTTGAAAACAAGTATGATTCATTTTGATCCTTTAAATTTTGGTTCTTATAGATCTTCATAGATTTGCAAGGCAGAGGGGCTAGGGTCTTGGTTCAGCCGTAGAGTACTTGCCTACCATGCACAGTACTCTGGGTTCAGTCTTTAGTGTCACAAGGAAGGAAAAAGAAATTGCAAGAGTTAAAGTGCCCACTTTTCCCAGAATGTTTTGTTTAGCATTTATTTTTTAGAATTTTGTTGCACTGAACATTAGTGTTTTATAAAATAAGGTCAAGGCCTGTTGATTTAATTTTATCTGCTTATGTCCATCTAGGAAAGATTACTGTCAGACTTCAAGATGTTCACAAATGCAAAGTGTTTTAAAAAAAACTTTCTTAAAAAGTATCATTCCATAGTAATGAATCTCAAATTCCACTGTTGCCCAGGTATGAGGTAGTTTAGATCATCTGAATCCCCTCTTTGTAGAAGCATTGAGGACATGTTAGATAAACTGTTCTGAATACATTTTTTGTTATGCAGCTAGGCTTGCTCAGGAAAGTTGAGGGCCCAAAAAATAGAATTAAAAACCAAAACCTAAATACTAAAAGCCAGTCGTTGGAGTATTATTGGGAGTTATGCTGAAGAAGTTAGCTTCTGTAATGTAAGAAACTGTCACTTGGTTTTTATGTGGTATAGGTCCTGGACTGTAGAATCTCGGGAGGCTATACTTGAAAGGAATATTTCAGAAAATAAATCCCTTCCTTGGCACATGAAAGGTCAAAGAAATTTAACTATTATGTGATGGGCTGTCAGGGCTTTGGGAAGTCTCTGCTAAGGACCCACAGCTACTGTCCTAGGCTGGCTTCAGTATAAACTATATGGTTGTATCTTGTAAGCTCGACTATTACCATAGGAAAGAAAGTAGAACATATGTCCTAGAGATTGTTTTTTTCTTGCCTCATTAGAAGAAACCATAAGGTATTCAAAACCCCCAATTTAAATACAGTATTTTCAGAGACAAAATAATACTTTTTAAAACTGTAAGTCAAAGAAGAAGCTGTAAAGGGAATTAGAGATAGATAATGACTTGTACATAACAGATTTTGGAGGATGTTAAAAGTTATTCTTGAGGTATTTATAGCCTTAAACATTTATTTTGTAAACTAGACTGGAAATTTATAATTTATGTATTAAGTTTAAAAAGTTAAACCAAAAGGATAAAATTAGTCCGGATACTTTCACAGGAACAAAATAACAACAGAAATGAACTAGAAGTTAGGGAGTTGGTATAGTCAACAATTTTTAATATGTTACAGTTGGCAAGCCTCTAGAGATTAGTAAGAAAAAAAAAAGACAAGCAATACTGGGAATCAAAAAGAACATAACTGTATGGTTCAAAGTATTTATGAATATTGTGAATACCTATTTAAATTTAGAAAGCAGATGATGTGTACAATTTCTCTACATAAACTTATTGTAGAAAGTATTTCAAGAAATTGAGGAAGTTGATTTCTCCAATTAACATTATAGAAATTGAACCAGTTAGTCTAGCAAAAACTTAAGAAACAGTTGATTGCAAATTATACAAACTATTTAGGAGAATCACCAGAGAGTATGAATTAACTCCTTTTATGGTGTTAATACAACCTTAGCATAATGTGACTTTTTCCTTTGAAAACCCAAGGAAAATGGAGTGTCACTTACGAACTTAGGTACAAATGTTAAACAACATTAACACGTAAGAGTCAGCAGTGACTGTTACAGCATGAATTAGCCATGACTGAGTGTCCAAGGAGTGTAAGATGGCTTTCAGTAGGAAAATCTAATACTGCTTTCCATATAACAAATTAAAGGGGAAAACTAAACCATCTTCTCTGTACAAAAAGAGTTCATACATGAATCATGTTTAACAGTCACAGCAACCAGGAATGAAAGAAAATTCTTTAACCTCATAGAAAGAACCTGTCACATAGAACAGCTGTCACATAGAACAAATACACACCCTCAGCTGAGAGTATTATAAAAGGTAACTAGAATAGCACTTGTCCTTATATACGTCAGAAAGGATAGTATGAATGATGACTTTGTTCTAGACATAGTGTAAAACATTATTAAAATATTTAAACATTATTTAAAATCGCATATTGTCATCTAGGATGAAGAGAGTGGGAGTTTTAAAAGTTCTGGTAAGGTGTACATCAGTGTGCTCAGGTCGAGACCACTAGGAACACCTGTAATGGAGCAAAGTTGGACTTACTAACTCATGGCAGTAAGGAAGAATGAGCGCCGGGAAGAACAGCGGGGTATCTGAGTGTGTGTTAGAAGCTTTTGTAGGTGTTCGGTAATTTGGGGTAAAGTTCAAGGAACTAGGGCTTTGCTCTTGATTGAATGCCATCAGGAAGTAGGAGCAGGTCTGTGATTATCTTACTAAATATTTAGAAAGGAAGAGGAATGAATCTTACTAAATCTCTTGTAAAAGGTGGTGAGAATGAGTTGAGGATATAGTGCAGTTGGTAAAATAGCAATTATTCAGATGAGTTTGAGTGAGTGAGTGTTTGGTCCTTTAGTTTTGTCGGTGTTCTTGTTTCTGTTGGAATTTTGACATGATTGTGGCGTGTTCTTAGTCCGTCATGGTTATATGATGGTTTTGTCTGATGTTGGATGTTCTTTGAAAATGTTTATGTTCAACAGGAGAACACCACAGCCTTTCTGTGAGTATCAGGCTGGCTTCTAGCAACACTAAAGCAATCTCATAGTACCAGACTAGTGCCTGGCTATCGGGAACTGCTTTTTGTCCTTCTTGGTATTGGAAAAAAAGCAGTAATACCAGTGAAAGCCAAGGATTAATTGATGGAGGTAGAAGATAGTATTGGGGAACTTCCACACAACAGGGACGGTGTAAATTACTGGTGGTTTGTTTTCTAAAAGCTTATATTGATGGTGTAATATTTGAAACATGTATAACAAAGAATCTCCCTGACCCTTTTTTTCATATAGCTATTCTTTTCTAACTATATGCTTCTGAAGTTTGTATATACAACAGTGAATATATATAGTAATTGAAAAAACATTTTAATCTATAAACTGCTACATTGGGGTTTGTGCTCAGAGCCTTGTGTCATTTTTTTTCCTGTTTTTTTTAATCTAGTGGTGATAGTCTTTGTTGATAAACGAAGGATATCACTTTTTTTTTAAAGTGAACTGAAAGTCATTTGGACAAAACGGGTGATTAAATGAGATAGTCTGGCCTTGATTTAAAAAGCAAAATAGCTGATTGTTATTAAGTAATTTTTAATTTTGTGGCTTATATACTGCGAAGCAATTGCTTTGAAGGACAGTGTTGACATAAGACTTGTAAGTTTTGTAGATATGTTTTTAATAGATTACTTTTTAGATCAGCTAACTTTTAGTTAATTTTTTTTAAATCAAAAGTAAGCAAGCAAAACATCTACCAGTCATGATATATCTTAACATTATGTACAGAATAAAGTGTTCTTGTATTATTTCAAGAATACTAAATACTGTAAAATATAATTTAGAAGTTACAGAATTTTTATTAAAAGTGATATCAATGAAACTTAAGTTCCGGGGGCTGGGGATTTAGCTCAGCGGCAGAAGCGCCTGCCTGGCAAGCGCAAGGTCGTGAGTTCGGTTCCCGGTACCGGAGAAAAACCAAAAAAAAAACAAAAACAAAACAAAACAAAAAACTTAATTTCCATTAAAATAGAGCTTTCGGTATCTTACTGTAATTGTTTTCTTCGAATAAACCTTTTTACTAGTAAATTCATAAACTTCAGTTCCGACATCAAGAACGGCTGATGAATTTCTTTTTATGAGAAAGTAAGTTATTAGGAATAAAGAATTCTTTCCTTTAACAAATTATTTAAGTATCAGTAGGTATCTTGTTTAATTTTGATTTTGTTTCACTTTTTAAATGTATTGTATTTTTCCTTATTGCGTATTATTTTGTTGGTATATTCATTCAAGAATATGTCCTTCGAAGTTTAAGTAAGCTAATGATTTTATTTCAGTTAATGGCCAGCCAAGACCCCTTGAATCAAGTCAAGTGAAATATCTCCGTCGAGAACTTGTAGAACTTCGAAATAAAGTGAATCGTTTATTGGATAGTTTGGAACCGCCTGGAGAACCAGGACCTTCCACCAGTATTCCTGAAAATGGTAATGTGAATCCATTTTAGCCTGATGTATTGCTTTCATCACCTAGCAGATCTTTTTAAAGAACACGCTGACTTGGTAGGAGTAGGATGGCACCCTCAGTGTCACTGAGGTTACCCTTGCCTTGGACCCTACTTCTGTTCACGTCTGTGTTCCCAGACTTGGCTGTTCCTCAGCAGCACTGGGAATGTGTGTTACACCAATCCTGGATCGCATCAGCTGTGTTAACACGTGGTGGTCTGTGGATCCTTAGCAAGTAGTCATAGGTCAGTTCTCAAACTCCTTTAACTCATGAACCCTTTTTAATGTAATTGACAGTTAGTGACGCTTAGGAATTTAAAATTATTCCATGAGTGTTAGGTAGAACATGAAGTAATTTCAGGTGAACATGGCATGTTGTAGTTTATTTTTTGTGGTACTAGAGATTAAGCCCAGGGCTTTCATATATGCTGGACAAATACTCTCATACTAAGTTACATTCCTGGCCCACTGTAGTTCATTTTAAACAAAATTTTTAATAATTGTAATATATAATGAAAAACCGATGTTTTTCTACTGTATAGACGTGTAGATTTATATTAATGTAAGATGTTGACAAATTTGGAACTGATAGTTTTGGGACCAAATTTATTTTAAGTTAGAGACTGAAATTTAAGTATGTATTATGCATTGCTGTAGATGATAAAGAACTGCTTTCCTCAACTTTTAAGAGTCTTATATTGCACTTAAAAATGTTTTTTTAAAATGAATTTTTATAATTTTCAGATATATAAAGCTGTCTAGATTGTGAAATACTAATTTTTTACAGTCTGGATGATTGCATATAGGCAATAAAATAAATCATTTCTGTGGAAAACTGGTACATGTAATTTCTTAGAACCTTTAAGTTGAGTTACTGCTCTATATTTGGCCCTTAAATAATTTGGAAGTTTTGCTATTTAAATTTTTTCTTACTTTTTTTTGTCCTGAGGATTGACCCCAAGATCTTGGGCGTGCTACACAATGCTCTACCATTGAGTTATACTATATCCCCCTGATTTTCCGTCTTTAATTAATTGAAGCTTAAAACTGCATTTTCCACTATTTTCTTCTTTCTTTTAGCCATGTGAGGTTATGTTAATGGTAAATACTGGATTATCCCTTAGTAATTTATAATTCTACCTCTTATTTTAGAGGGTACTGGATACTGATATACTGTCATGAGATCCTCTGAACCACCTTTATGGTGAAAGCTTTTATGTTTCAGATCTAAGCAGGTTATTTATTCTCAGTTCTACCCTTCTAAGCAAAACACTACAGTTTGAGATCATAATCTAATGAAAATTTTAGAATATTTTTCCAGAAGAATCCATATGTTAACGTAACATTTGGATATAATTTCAGAGGGTACAGTCATCAATTGAATATTATGAAATGTAGATCAAAATTAATCTCATTTTTAACAAGAGAACAGAAACCTAAAAAATCCCTACATCAGACTCTGAAAATAACCCAAAAAACAAAACTGCCGGTCAGCCAGCAGTGCCATTTAGCACCTTTTGGCTTACTCTCACTGACAAGCGCGTGGCCGCCTGTGGTTTTCAGTGCTATAGCCCTGCAGTAGGAGACTTGTTTTCTGTGAGGTGTGTGATGTGTGAACTACCTTAGCACTACATTGACCTCTTAGTAAAGCTAGACAGTATGTGGCTAGCGAGCATACAGTGTTTCCCGATAGATGTAGTATGTGATAAGTATAAAGAGGCATTAGTAGTAGTGGTGGTTTGTGGGGGGATATTTGTAAGATTGATGTGATTTACTTTGTAGTCTGTGACTATAGGAATGAAATTGTGAGGAGGATAAAAACCTGGTAGACATATTTTAAAGCAGTACTTTATAAGCATTCTTGCCACCCCAGATTTAGGAAATGTTAGGAATAGAATGAGAGCTGCCTGCCAGTGTGTACTAGGGCTGCTTATTCTACTTACTACTTACACTTGTTTTACAGGAGTATTTTTATGACGACGGGGATGATCTGATGTTCATTTACTTACTAGCAAAAAATTGATAATTATCTGTTGAGTAATTGATTCTTCTTGTCTACTGTTTTTTTTTTTTTTTTTTTGAATCTACAAATGTCTCAGATATGTCATTCTTTAGAGCTGAGTAGTATTCCATTATATATACTGTTAACATTGTCCTTAAATCTTTATTCTCATTTCTTTACTTTCTTTTTTTTTTTGTCTTTTTGAGACAGGGTCTTGCTATGCAGTGCAGGC